AATGGGTCAGGCACGCCAATCAGCTGAGGCCGAATCATCGCAAGACTCAAAGTTCCTCGGAACCGCTAGACACGTTTGCTTTGAAGGAGGAAACTGAACGGCTACGTGGATCACAACAGAACCTGCAAGCATCAGCTGATACACAATGCAGGCCGACCCGAAAGCAGAGACAAGCAAAATGGCTACACGTTCCCAAAACGAAAACCTATGGACAAAGACGAGTTCGTACGGTACGTTGGTGTACTCAATTCGAAAGGGGAGGTAATAGAGACTTAAGCGGATCACGTAGGCTCTCGGCTACATGCAAAGGTTATCAGCACGGGCGTGATACAACCTTTGGCCTTTCCGCCGAAATGGGGGATCGAGTGCGAATTGATCAACCAGCAAATACAAACTCGCTTCAAAGGAATCGAACTATTCCGTCAATCTGGTAAACCCGTGGAGCGGGATTCACTCCCACTGGCTGAATATTAGACACAGAAGTGTGAGTGACATTGACTTCCGAAATTGGCATGCTTCGTTTACCAATGAATAGAGTTGATCTATCCTGTTGATATACTCTCTGTCTACCGAGTTCTGGCCTTTTTCTTATTCTTTGTTTGGCTTTGCGCGTGACTGAGCAGTCAGACAATCACAGTCTCGCCGAGCCGCAAAGCAGCAGTGCAACACAGATCCAACTGTGAAAACGAAGTATCACCTCTTTTTGAAACCACACTTAATTCTGCTACCCGTTCACGTTCTCTTCCGGATCAATTCCGTTCTTCTTAACGGTAATAAGTGCATACTCGGAATCACTGGTGATGTAGCATGTTGCGTTCAAACGATGTCATAACAACGGTATGACAGTGGGAAACTTTAGTGACAACCGTAAAAGCGGAACACCAAATTTAACAAATACCAACGAGTAAAAGCTGTCCGAAACGTGAGTCACATGAACGCGCGAACGATTCACATTTCGAAGCTAATCAATCGCGAATGCTGGTTGATTGGTACACAAACACGCATGCACTCACCTACACACACTCACACGAAGCATTAGGAGCCCTTCTGGCTGGATAGCGGTGGATGGATTTGGCATTACCATTATTTTATTCCTTCAGCTTTAGTTTGAGCTAGACGGCCTGGAAGCGCTTGAATGGTCGGCGTTGATTCGAACGGCGCAAACAGGTTCATGTGATTGTTCGGCGTCAGCCGCCTGCATGTCCGACAGTTGTCGGTATGGTGCTTCTTGTTCAACGCTTTTTTATCGCTTCGACAATCTTGGTCGCACATGGTCCAAATGGTACCGCACGATCTTACTATCCTCACTTTCCGTTTCTATGATCTGTACGTTAGTTGTTTCAACAATCGTTTACGCCCACCCTGCCTGTGTATGCAAACAGATATTGTGTTTGACCCTGTCACAAGTTTGCCTCTGCTGCAACTGTCAAAACATTCCTTCGCCTTTCAGAAATCTGCGACCCAGTGGTCCCACGCAGTAAATCCAATACTGTACGCAAGTGACAGCCGAACATTTACTCCGCCGGCCTTCTGCTGTTAGTGTCGTTGGGCATGTTTCGATACGCTAAAATAGAACAATCCAAACACACGCGCAATGAAGCATGTGGTTTTTTGTTAGCAAAAATCTCACAGAATGGCCCTTTCTGCCAACCATTTGGAAGACATATAATCAGGTTCAGCGCAGTTTGAGCTAACAAAGATAAAAAGAACTCCGCACTGGAAAACGCTGGCACATTGTCCGACACTAATGTATTAGAGTGATCAATCGTCGCGAATGTTGTGAGCAGTTTCGTTGTTGTACTAGCTAAAGTTGATAAGGCAAGAATGTGGGCCTCAATCCACTTAGACTGAGCGTCGAGGGAACCAAAAGAGCACATAAACGAGTTTCCATGATGTTTCTGGACATTTCCACGGCTGCATTGGCGCATGGGGTCGGCGTTTCGGCTCCCTCGACAATTTCTCTAACTTCCTACCTTCGCCACAGTGTCGCCGTCTAACTGGGACAACCACACACTCGCTGTTACAGCGAGCCTTTCGACTTCATTTTCTCAGCTCCTGGATGAGCAGCATGTCCGACATCGAGTATACATGGCCGAAATCTCTTGAGGACTATAACTCTTGCGTCCCACAGTAAATATTTATTCTTGAGGCTGACTTCAACCATCCGGTTACGGAAAGCCGAGTTTTCTTGGGGTGTTATTTTACCACCGGACTTGAACGTAACATTTTATCAGCGCTAAAACAGAATCTCTACAAGTTTCCTGACGTGTGCTCGTTGACATGACCGGGGAGTCATTGAAATCTTGTGGAGTAAACTCTGAAGGCGCCTTTGGTAAACGAAGTCGATCAAGCATCTCAACGGTGGGAGTCTGCTGGCCGGGAACGTATTAAATTTTATGTATATCCAGATAGAATGAAGGACCAACGGACCACTGTTATTGAGTTCATATGCTGAATCTCTTTCTTTTGGCCAAGGAGGAAATTAAGAGGTTTATGGTTCCTATAGATCATGAGACTTCGACTATGTAAATTTTGATGACATCGGATGGTACCGAAGTTAACGGTTGCTGCCTCTCGATCAACCTGTGAGTAATCCGTTCTACTACATAAGCATGAGCAAATTAATCTCTGAGAGCCATCCGGTACTACTCGCAGTCAAGTAGCTCCAAGACCATAAAGTGAAGCATTACAGGAGAATAACAGGTTTTTGTGAGTCATAATACACAAGAACATCTGCGAATTTCAAAAGCTCCCTGACCAATCTGAAAACGGTATCAATAGTACGCCGGTACGCAGTACCGACGCTTCTCTGCGGAACAACCACCAAGTTGCGAGTGGGCTACGGATACTATGAGGGTCGCCCGGTTCCCTACGCAAGCTCGAACCCACGCCCTCAGATTACAACACAGGCTTATGATCCTTTAGGCTACGGGCCGGGCCACCCTGAAAGTACTTTGATGAATTTTGTTCCAATTCCAAGTTTGGTTTTTACGTAGGAGTTGCTGAAGCAGATGCAGACGGGTTGCTGCCCAAGGTAACCAAAGGTCACCAAAGAATCACCGCAATTTTGGGTGATGACACCTCAAGTAGCGCTATTGTCTTTTAACTGGCCTAATCCTCGTGATAACTGACACCAATAGTACTGTATTAGGCACAAGGGGTTCACGCTTCTTTCTTAACTTCGACTCAGTGTGTGCTAATCGTTTCATGACGACATCTAATTTTTATAAGTATTCATTGATAATTCGTCCAATAACCAATGTCATTCAAGTACGTACATGTGTTTGATATATCTTTCACCATGTGTTTCAATAATAATACGTTGAAAGATAATACAATCCGAGCTTATTCCAAGTGACATGCTTGTGTAGCGGAATAAACCAATTGTCGTATACGCACGTGATCCCTCTTCGAGTTAAATTTGTTGGTAGGCATGACTCAGACCCAGTTTTGTAAAAAAAGAACTCGCCACAGGTGAGGGAAGCGTAAATGTTCTCAATGGCAGCGGATACTTGTCTAGCTGTAATGCCTAGCTGTTCATGACCTTGTCGTCCACACATATGCTTATGGCATCATCGCTCGTCAATGCTGACACTGAAGGATTTGCCCCGTCTGAATTGACACGGCGCAGTTGCACTCACCACCTCCCGACCCAAGTCCAATGTGAATAGCTGAGCATGAAGATGTTTTACTTCAAGCCTCTTAGTGACCGAATCAACTGAGAACAACTGAGGATGCTGCCCATTTACCAACAAGCAACTGCTGTTTACGACTTGCCTGAAGACAACACTGGGTATAAAAATTCCCCAGCATTTCTTAAGGGAGAATTCCAATCCATCTCCGCAGTGATCAATGATCAGACTAACTCACACGATTCATCCATTGTCTACACCAATGGCTCAGCAGTGATCATAACTCCTGGAACCAAACATTTCCGCATTGTATCCCGAAACCTGACGAACTCCATCCCTCAGGATAAATTTTCATTTTTTTTCATCCCTCAGGGCGATGGAGAATCTACTTTTATCCTCACGCATCCTAAAGAAGTCGGGAACTGTGCTTATTTACACTCCCACTAGGTTGCTGTCGCACTGTATTGAATTTGTAACGTACTTCGAACACACGTGGCTTTTCCACCAAAGTTGTTCCATGGAATATAACACAGAATTTAAGTCTCCTTTTGTATGTAACTACAAACTGTCGAAATGTCGCTGGTCCTTTTTACCTAGGTGGTGGAGCAGTAATTTGATTTTCGCTGCGTCATTAACCGTGTTATTGCCGCTCAGAAGCGAAAGTGGATCAATGTAATTGATGAAGGTAGTTTTCCACGGTTTTCATTGCTACCTAGTAGATCTTTCAGTAATCCGGATAACCTCCGTCGCCGTCTCATTGTGAGCGTGCGCACAAGTTTTGTTCCTCCGTTCCTATTCTCTAACGGACCGCCTTCCAACCTTTTTCCGTTCTGTTCTTATCGGAGATGAGTACACTAGTCTCAGAGAAAGTGATATGACTCTGGTTTCCTATGAAAAGCATACTTCTACGCTTTTACTGTTTGACTCCCTGATTTAACATAACCGCTCAATTTGATCACGTAATTCCTTATTGTGGATCGTTGCAATGTGGTAAAAGCGCGCTTTGCATGCACTGAGACGGTGGTGCCGGCATTCCTTCCTATTCTATTTCACAATCCATAATCTATCACCGTACGTACGTATTCGTACGCCAGTGCTCTACCTGGACCTATTTTGCTAGAGTACTCACCACTCATCACTATTGTACGACTGCATTCATCTACTCCTGCTTTGTACCACTCGATGTTAGCTCCCATCATAATGTAGCTCAGTTTTCAGATGACAGATTATAAAACACTTTCTTGCTTTGCGCGCCACTATATGAGTTGCACACATTGTTGATCGAGTCTGATCGCGTTTATGTTAAGTTCTCCTCGCACGTGACACGTCAGTTCACTAACACTTGACTCACCCACTGCTCTTTGTCAGGTTTAGATTACATTCTCCCGATATCGCTCACCGTTGCGTTCTTCACTTCCTTCTACGCCGTGGCCATACTCGTCGTTTGCATCCATCAACGCCCATCGTAAGCCCCATTCTAACGAAATGTGCTTGCTCCTATGAATTGATTTGTTTCTCCTTATCTATTGCACCGCTTCATCTTACTGCTGCCGCTTCTTTAAGCCTATTTTTATTTTCATGATGGTGCTTGCGGTGAGGCATGTAGCTAAGCTTTTCAACTGTCTGAGCTGCCCGGTTTACCACTAAGTCCTCATATCTATTATCTGAATAGCCACAGCCGACATCCAACATGGTGTATAACTTACTTTTTAGCCTTCTCACAAGTCTGGCATCAGGCCAACGTCTTAATGCGTGTCAATCAGTGGAACAATAACATTATACAGGTAAAAAAAGCCAGGGCTTGATATGTTCCGTAGGATTGTCTGTGTGAAAGAATTCAAAGAGTGCACACATTCGACAGCAAGGTAAACCGCGCGTCCGCGGTTAGCGGCATCCGGTTCCGTATTTGCCTGTCACTGCGGCCTCCATAGGACAGTCACAGGACGTCTGCGCCTACAGAGGGACCATGGTTGGCTTGCGCTGCACCACCCCCCACTCCATCCCCACACCTCATATTCAATGTAAACCAGAAGAAATAAGACCAGGTTGCATGTGGATGGAGCCACGTTTCATCAACGGGACCGGCCCGCAATCCTTCAACATCCACATCAGCAGCATTACTATCATACGTACGAGACGTACACAATGCGGTGGCTGGGCCGTAGTCCGCTCCACACTGGATGGATAGAGCCACTCTCTGAACCTATTAAGGTCAAGAAGACCGTGCATCCCGTCTCTCTAAGTGGCCATCAACTGTCTTTTGAAGTCAGTATTATCGAATTAGCGGATTTTCATCATAATGCTTGTTTGCATCTAGTCCGCACTCGATGAGCCAAGGGGTATGCCACATGAGGCAAATGGTTTGATGCATCGTCGAGTTGTTTTTAAGAACGTGTAACGTGGGCACAGAAATGACAAATGTCGAAAGGGCGTTCCACAAAGAAAAAATATTATGCGGTTTTCTAGCCGGCTGTATTGGATGGACATTTTCAGTTGGTGGCCCTTTAGTTTTCTGTTGCGGAGGTAACGGCAGACATAACTAGGGTTTTTCAAAATCGGACACGTCAGAATGAGATAACCCGGAGACAACGATAACCTTCGCTGGCCACTCTTGAAGGTGGGGTTGCAGAAGGAACAGTTCCTTAACGTTTTCTGCTGTCTTTTTTGCTGTGAGAGTCTCCAGTGCAGCCATCGCTGAGATTGGATCTTAATTTGGTGCGATGGTTTGCGTGCCCCAACGACTTATTGAGATATTCTGTGTGGAACTTTCTGCATCTTCAGAATGGTCATTAGTTAGAGACCAGATGAGCACTGTTTCCTGGTCCTCCAAGTTAGGGGTTGGAGTTAGGGTGGCTCTTTACTTCACAAAACGTTTATTTTGTAGTGCAGTGCCAAACTCTGTTGACTTGCGTTCGGGTTTTTGAATCAAATTCTTTGCTTGAGCACCCTAATCGTTCTTCTGTCTGGGCCTGGGTAACCTGACAATATCCTCCCTGTGCAATGTGTAATACTATGATCCCTGATGCTCTGGCCGTCGCAGAGGATGCTCAACAACACCTTATATGCAGCACCGAACAGGGTGGATAGAACTGAGTATGCCACTGCTCAGGTCTTCCCGTCTTCATATTCCCCTCACGCTTTTTCCTCCTTGTCCTCCTGCTCCTACTTCGCTTTTATCCACCCGTTTCCCACTCCCCAATTTTCGGCCACCCCATCTTGTTTCAGTAAGCGTTTCTCTTCTAGTTTGCGCTCACACAGAATCGCATGTCGTCGCCCCAAACCAGTTCACAAGTCTTAGTCTATTTTTAACCAAGTGGACAAAGTCATTTCATCCGCTTCTCTTTCGAACCCTCGATCCTCGCTAAGACTGGTATGCCTCATCCTGCGTACTTTGTTATAGCTTTGTCAGTAGGTAGCACCTGACTGAGCACTAGATTTCCTGTCGATTGGTATGTGCTATTTGTCAGAAATCCATCTACAAAATTTGAGCTCTGTGCTTGCCATGTGATCGCCGGCGTGTGCTACTGTGGATATTTTCTCAATACGCTTGTCTGGAGATGACGCAGCTTCAAATACCAGTCAAGTTGATGTGGGTGTTGTTTAGAACCTTCGGGTTGAAGCCGATCTTATCGGGTATGTCCCAATCAACTGGCGGATGTGTGGCGTCAGAGTGGCTGCATCGCTCAGTACTTCCAAATCCCGCGTGGATAAACGGTGCCTGTTTGTCATCGCAGCATTCACGCCTACAAACTCTAGCCATAACTTGGTGAAAGATTACTTATATCGCTGACTTAACATACGGATAATGTTGTACTTGATGGTGATCTGAACGCCCAGGTTGCAAAACTGTCCACTGATGCGCTGTGTCTGCGCCACCAACACCGTAAATATAACGGTAAGCAGTTGCTACACCTGTGTCTATTTCTCGCGAACACTAACTTCCGAGACAGCACTCACCGGAGGGTGAAATGGCGCCCACTAGCCATGAACCTAAATCCATCACATCACAATCAATTACTACTGGAGAGGATGTGCCCAAAGCTGTCGCTCGATTTAGAGCACATGTGTGGACACTGCCCATGCACTTGTATTTGCTGATTTGGAGGTGCGTTTTGACTTACGCCTGCGACGATACTGAGTGTGTAGATACCCGCCAACTGGCGAAGTCATATGTTCTGAGTGCATATCAAAGTACACCGGTATTCGGATTGAGTAAGCGGCCACTAAACGCAGTTGAAAAACAATGGTCGCTTATCCGCCAGACGTTATTAGCAGCATGTATCTTTATGTTGCGAATCATATTGGCACCTTGTATCTTTTGTTTCTACGTAGTCTCTGGATGCTCGTATACGTGTTTCGCTTGGAAGCTAACACCATGAGACCCGCAAAAATCTCAGGACGAATATGCATGCTGGCCTGAATGGCTACCGCGGAACCAGCTGCAATGACAGTGGACATCCAATACACAGCTTATCAAGACCTTTGGCTCGCTGAGTTTAGCATTGTGAGACGAAATTTAACCGGTTGCAATCAATAACTCGCCACCTGCTAATGACTTATTTGTCCCTGGGCAGTTGCCTTGGATCCGTACCTCGCAGGTAACTGGTATAAAATGTAAGATTGGGACTGAACCGGAAGTCTGTTTTCAACGCGTTGTGCTATAAAGGGAGCGGTTTCCGCAAGGACATGTGGGCAGGTGGCTGGGAAGGTTCGAGCCACTGCACTGGAAATTCTTCTGGTCAGCAAATCAAAGGCAACATCGCCTTTAAAGGGAACTGATAGGACCAAGTTATTCTTAGGGATAGTTATAATCACTTCACGACTATCGCGGATCAATACATACTTTTTGACGAATGAGTTTCTGTTTGTCGTGGTTCCAATATTCCTCCTCTTTGGCTTCATCAGCTCTTTGTACTCTGCCCTTCTATTTTAACATTGTAAATGCCTCAGGAGATTTGTCGAAAACTTTACTGTTCGACTAATGTTGTGTCTAAATTGTTTGCGCCTGTCGTTTCCTGCAAAGTTTCTGGCACACGTGGAAGCCTAATTTGCTTGGAGCAAACCGGGTTTCGTCGAAATCGGGACTGCGTTGACCACATCTTCACCTTACTTTAGTTGTTGGAACATAACCATATCTATTGGCGACCGAACGTTGTGTTTCTCGACATCAAAGGCGCCTTCGTTCCGGTGGGTCGATGGGCCTTTTGGGGTAGGCAGCTCAGGAAATGTTTGCCGGGTAAATATGTAGACGTCATCGGATCTCTGTATGCGCATAATTCGGGCACAGTGTGCGGGCTAACAGTAAACTGTCGCCGCCTTACAATATCTCCCGCAGTGTGCGACTGTTGCCCGCTGATGACTATCCAATTTAGCTTCGCCATTGTCATGGAAACAGTATTCGCTGGACTTGACATACGTGTGCAGCTACTTGCTGGTGAGCGACTTCTTGAATTGAAGTATGCTGACGACATTGCCCTACTATGTGACAGCTCACAAACGTGCCAACTTGCACTGGTTAAATTAGCTGTGGCTGTCAATTGTTTTGGGCTTTGCTTTGCTCCGTCGGAATGTATAGTCCTTTTATGTTTGCAGGGTCCCACTCCTGTGCTGACTCTTGGTAGTTATCGGTTTGAAGTCATCCAGAAATGTAAGCATCTAGGCAGCTATATTATCGCCTGTCGCATAGAAGATGAGATCCCGGACCGTACAGAAATACAACAAACAGATGAAGCGAGAGGGAAAATACTGTGATTATGGGGATAGATGGTCACACCAGGTCCGCCATTGCTCGCGGTTTCTTCTCATATCCGAAAGTGTTTCCAGCCATCATCATCATCATTATACACGTTAGCTGCAGATGGAAAACACCTCAGCTATTGTGCCACAATACAAAAGAGAAGAAAAAGAGAACAAACAGTGGCACGCCGGCTGAGTTCCCAGTAACGGATGAACACCGTTCCGGAGAGCTAACAGCTGGCTATCGTGCCGTAAAAAGAGAGTGATATTATGCCTAACAAGTGAGATCGTGATTGGAGGGGGATGCTAAGCAGGAGGGGGGTGGACAAAGGAACTCACAACACAAATGCCATTGGGACTGGCTCCAAGACGTATCAGCAAGTGTGTCCAACCAAACGCGTTCACCGTCCTTAGGACCCAAGCCAGGCAGTCGGGATGCACCAATTGACGCCAACTTCGAAGTGAGGGTTTTCATCTCTCACGACTAAGTCATCGCTTGGCCTCCCCTCCTCCTCTTCCAATCGCACTCACAACGCGCAAACAATGCGAGTCGCAGAAGTCGGTGTGCTGGCATGCGCATCAGGTGGCCCAGCCATCGGAGCCTGGTGCGTGATATAATGGTGCTGAGCGGTTCACTCGCTCTTCCTGCACCAAATACGCAATGCCGAACATGCTCATTTTTCTCGCGGTGCACCCACCAGTTTCAAGCCGTGCGTGTTCCTGACCCTT